TATATATATATATATAGGTCCGTATAGTAACTCGGAAAAATAATTCTCGAAGAAGGGGCCTGAACTTTGACAGCTAGCGTCTTGCCGCTCAAAGAGCTGCCCCGGCGCTTGCCGGGATCACCGGGCTTTGCAGCCGCACAACTCCTGGGACGAGGGTTTGGGGGTTTGGGGTTTAGGCGGGTTTAGGGCTTTATTGGTTTGGGGTTTTAGAGCTTATCATTTGCGGGCTTAAGGTAGTTAGCGGACTGTCGAAATCTGCGGAGCGAAAACCAAGACCATCTTCTTTGCTTTCTCCGGTACCCTTGCTCGAACGACCTCCGGGAGCTACCCTGAACTCCAAGCTCTTTCAAGCTTGCCAGACGAGACTGCGAAGCACAATCCTGAACCCGCCTTACAGAATCCTTATACTACAAACTCGACCTCAGCCAAGGGTCTCCCCGAAGCCACCGAAGCCGTGGCAAGTCGGGGCCATCGGATGGCTGCCGACGCCCATCAGAAGCGCCCCGAATCGAATCAGGAGGAAAGCCATGGCCACAGGATTGGGGTTTTTTGGGAGTTTAAGTAACAAGCGGTTCTAAGAGAAGTGACCAAGTGCTCTTGAAAGAGGTCTCATATTCCGATTCCTGAGTCGTTACATGTTGCAGTCGCAGGAGCTTGCTCCGGCTTCAGGGTTTTTGGCCCATGGCTGCGCCTTGCAGGGGCCTTTAGGGTTTTTTAAGTGCCTTGAGACTTTCTCCCCGCCTTTAGGGTTTAGGGCTTGGGGTTTAGGGTTTAGGGGCCTGGAGAAGCAAACTTTTTCAGCGACCATCCAGGCGATTGCGTTTGGCTTTTGAGGTCTCTGAGCTTCGTGGAATGCCTCATATGACCGGTTTAGGGTTCGGGTTCTTGTGCCCCAAGCCTGATACAGCAGCAGCAACTTCATACATGCAATGCTGAACCAGTAAACGGTTCTGCCGTTTCCCAAGGGTAACACTACCCAATTAGCCAATCATTCCTAGCTCTGACGGATGTGCTCTTTTTGGTTACATATGCGTGCGCATCGGTGGTTAGCCAGCCGAGGCTGACACCTCGATGCCCTACCGCACGGTCCGGGTCGCGCTCTAAGTGGGTCCAAAAAACCCCGAGCAAGAAGGCCCAAGACCTAAGACGTGATGTAGGGGCCTTAAAAAGTTAGAATAGGGTTTGGGGGTATATCATACTATATAACTATAATCAGGAACCCCCCCAAAATAGTATGGGTGATGATTTAGGCCCCTACCTTCGGTGGATGGACTCTGCTTAGCAGGTCCCCCGGACTAAATGGTGGCAGAGAAAGAACGCTGCAGGGGCCCGGAGAGCTTGCTGGGTTTACATGGGCTAGGTATGTATGTGTGTACACATGGGTAGTTCTCCAAATTAGGGTCCCTTGTAGGGTCCTTTCGATAAGGGTGCCGCGCTATATTGGGGACCTAAAAAAGGACCCTAATTTAGAGAACTACCCACATGTCTGTATGAATGTGTGCGCATGTATGTAGTATGTGTGTGGACAGTACATATATGTATTACATTCAAGAAACCACTGATCACTCCGAAGACAGCTCTGAACAATATCGTAATGTAGGGGCCTTAATCATCAGAATAGGGTTTTGGGGCCCGCTATACTTTTCATTGTAACCAGGAACTCCCAACATAGTACAGTTAATTATTTAGGCCCCTATTTTCTTGCGGACGGGTGCTTAAAGGGGGCCGCGACAGCGATTCACTTCTCAGGAGGTCTTGGTTTAACCAGAGCTCTCCCCCAGTCACGCCGGTGGCTCCAGGTTTGGGGCCTTGAGTTTCGGTGGGTTTTCGGGGGGTTTAGAGTTTAAACCCCTAAACCCTAAACCCTAAACCCTAAACCCTTTAAGGGGGGGTGGTTGGGGTAAGGTTGAGGGCCCGAGGTTTCGAGGGTCTGAGAGTTGGGGTTGGGGTCTTGGGGTTCAGGGGATAACTTTGAGAGCTAGGGTTGGAGCTTCGGCAGAATGAAAGTACATCTGATGAGGCCTCTCATGTATGCCATTCAGCCGACCCCTTTGGGTACAGCGGCGCTCCATGTAGATTCCCATCCGATTGTCCTGAATGTTGGTGTCAGGGTGTGGGGGTCCTGGTTCCTTGCATGTGGGGCTTCCTGCAACTGAAGATTTTCATGTGGACGCTCTGCAGCAAAAGTCTAGGATTCCACACGGGGGAAATGATGCCAATTAAAAGATTCACCAATCCATGAAACGAACAGATCAACATGGGTAGTTCTCTAGGTTACGGTCCCGTTTTCAATGCCGAACAGAAAGCGTCACTCTTGCAATAAAGACCTTCGTAACGGGGATCCTAGTCTTAAAAAGAACCGCCCTGCGGTTCACGAAGCGGGCATCCCACTTGTGTAGGTCCTGAAATCCCGAAGCCCTGACATAGTTTCGTCAGGCCCCTACAGCCCCTAACCCCAAAAATCCTGAACCCTAAGCTGCGGGGGCAGAGAGATCGCCTATAACTACATGTAGAGCAACAGCTGAGGCCATGAGCGGCCCTGAATCTCCAAACCGCCCCGAAGCCCCAAACCATACAAAGCCCCAGCCCAAGACCCGCAAAAAGCTAAAGCCCTGCACTCTGGAGTCTAAAGTTTCTAAAGCCCGAAACCCACCTGCCTAAATCAACGAAACCCTCGAAAGTGAAACCTTAACATCGCACTTCCAACCCAGCCCGGGAAACCTGAGCTGTCCGCCGTCCTCCGGGAAAAATGCTTTGGCCTGCCGCCAGCCTCTCCACCGGCGGCTGGGCCCCGGCCCCCCGCAAGCTCTGGAAACGCATTTTGGCAAGATTAAGGGCTTGTGTTGGAAACTGGCAAGTATCGCGACTCAGGATTGCATGTTGCTTGCCGCTAAAGCAGACCCGAAATCCTATAAACCTTAAGCCGAGAACGGTAAAGCAGTTTTGAAGATACGGTCGGCTTGCTTCGCCATACTTACAAGCAACAACTCACACGCATGGCCCCTTTGTCTCCCCTAGGCTACTATAGACTATAGGGGCCTAGTTCATTACCAATACTATTTTGGAGATTCCTTCTTAGAACTATAGACTATAGTATAAGATACCCCAAACCCCTAATGATTCGAATGATTAAGGCCCCTACGTTACCAGAAACCCTGAAGCTTAAACCATCGTGGCCCTCTGCACGACTCCTTGGCGGAACTGCTCTTCGTCGCTAGTGGTGGTCTTCCAGATCCTTTGGGGGAGGGGACGCTTTAAGAGTCTGGTTCCCACAGTCTGGCAACCCTATTACGGTTCAGGGTTTAGGGTTTATAAGGGTTTAGGGTTTAGAGTTTATGGGTTTAGGGTTTAGGGTTTATAGGGGTTTAGGGGTTTGGGGTTTAGGGGTCTGGGTTTTGCAACTCGACCGGGCACAAAAGGAGCGAGACTAATCCCTGGACTTTTGGCTGAAAAATGTGCTCGGAAAGTGTATGGACCCCAGAATCCCGAAGCACTGACCCTGCATGTACACATCTTGGATTTGGGTTTAGGGCTTAGGGTTTAGGGTTTAGGGTTTGGGAAGACCAACTAGATTCACAGGCTTTTGATTTTCCTAGATGGGACTTCTATGTCATGGCATTGGTTGCAGGGCTTTGCAGCGAGCTGTTTGGGGAATTCCCGACGAACTCCAAGCTGCACCTGGAGAAAAAGGATCTGGACAGGCGGAACAGAGTATACACTGCATATCTCAGTAGTCCATGCTACAGCATGAACAGAAATACGTATGGGCACTACCGAGTCGCTACCGAGACTTGTACTACTTAGAGCAACAATGAACCTGACATTAGCAGCTACCATGTTAGTCATTCTAAGAACAAGAAGAATAGCAATGCTAGCAGCACACTGAAACTGCGAGTCAGAACTGCTGATATCCTACGAATGAGAACGGCGCAGCAGTTTCCGGTACTTACAGAAATGCATGCAGGTCCTTACGTTAAGGTAAAGCAAGATTTTGCCTACCAGCCCTATGCACACGAACAGGAAAGTGCAAAGCCCCCTAACCCCATCACTGGAAGACCCTACCTATAGTCTCCATTGTAGTTCCTTTTTTTGGGATACCTTATAAAATCCTTAATATATATATATATATATAAGCGGTTAAACCAAAAACAAGAGCTACAATGGAGACTATAGGTAAACCGTGAGCCGGGCCTTCTGCCGGAAGTCCTGCAGAGACTTCTCCAGACTGCCATCTCGCGCCTTACACTCGCAGAAGCCAAGCAAGAGGATCCTTACTTGTGAGGGTCCTTAAATCGCAGTATTCAGGGTCTGGAGTAACTGTAGCAGTAAGTTGCAATAAAGCCGTATCAGACCCAGCCAAACCCCTTGGCAAGAACCCAATTTAGCAGATCGGGCCTGACTGCTTAGCTTCTCGGGACCGATGCTCCGAGCGCTTCCGGGATCAGGGGTTTGAGGGTTTAGGGCTTGGGTTGATGTAGGGGCCATAATAATAATCATAATAGGGTTTCGGGGCCCATTATACTACATCTATAATTAGGAACCCCCCCAAAAAATAATATAGGTAATTATTAAGGCCCCTATATTAGAAGGGTTCGGGGCTTCAGGGCTACAAAAGCTAAAACCATAGTGGAAGAAGGGCCCTAGAGGGGTGTAGGGCCTGTAGGGCAGGCTTCGGGATCCGTAGACCCTAAACCCAGGGATCTTTGGATGGGTTTAGGGTTTTGGGTTTAGGGTTTAAGGGTTTAGGGTTTAGGGGTGTAGGGGTTTAGGGTTTAGGGCTTAGGGTTTATGGGCACCTGAATGAAAAACATGGGAAAATGGGGCGGGGGTGGGGGGGGGGGGGGGGGGGTTCGGAGGGTGGTACGATACAAGTACTTAGGGGAACCTGAAGGAGGGTTACCCAAGGCTCAGACGACGAAGGTACAGCGGTTCAGGGTTGAGGGTTTAGGGTTTAGGGTCCAGGGATTGTTCAGTCAGTAGCCAAGCCACGGCTTGGATGAGCGATGCTCTTGCCTTCTGCTTGGCACTGGCTTCGTCAGGGGCCGGAGGCTCGCCGGTGGCCTGAGTTCAGCATAGGGGCATGCATAGATAGTTTGAAGATAGTTTGAGGTTTTGGTCTGCAATATACAGTATACTCACCATGCATTTTAGAAAGAGCTCCAAAAATAGTATGACTAATGACTAATCACTTCAGGGCCCTCAAGTGTTTCGAAGCTAACTTCTCCTAGGCCACCTAAAAACCTTATCATCCTCTAATCCTAGAGCCCGAACCCTATCAACTCCGATCCAAAACCCTAAACCCTATAAACCCTAACCCTACACCGCCAAACCCAGCATCTGCAAAAACTGGGAATTCTCTTCGTCCTACTCTCGATCCCCATCTTCGATTCTGCGGAAAGCACCGGCACTTCTCAGGAGGTAGTGACGATTTTCTGGTGAGGATGGGGCTCCTCTGCCTCCTGGGGATGGGGTCCTAAGAACCCCGTGGAGGAAAACATTGGACGTTAACGACGGGAATGCAGAATTTCTTTAGGCTGTTTTCTTAATGACGGGGTTTGTTTTGAGGACTGCAAGGGGACATGACTGGTAATCGTCCCTATGCCTATATTAGCCGACGGCGAATTAGTGCCAGCAGGGATGGACGGGTACAGGCTCGGTAATGCAAACAATCGCTTGGGTATGCTTATACTTGGGTTGAGCTCAGAGTGTGTGAAACATGGTTTAGAAGTTTAGCCGTTTAGCCCGAACAGTTTTCGGGTTGACTTCCACGAAGACTCGTTATTCAGATACTGGGTCTTGAGGTTCCCTTACTAATTTGCTCCGGATGATGGGTACCCTAATCACTTCAAAATCCTATTCACTCCCAAACTCTTCTTTAAAAAACTGATATGTTAGGCTATTCTCGATTGCTGGAACCCCAATCCCAAACGACTAATCAGAAATCCTACAGTAACCTTATAGTAGCCCTTACAACAACCGTAGCACTTATGATAGCATTGATGCTAAGCCCTATCTATCAAGAGGAGCCTTCGCCTCACATCCGATGCCATGAGCTGCGGTGTTGGCTGCCAACACCGGCTGCTCCGCCTGCTGGAAGACTCGGGCTTTGGGGTCCCTTTTATGGTACTAGGGGGTGCTATAATAGAGTCCCCCTTTAAGGGTACTCTAGGGTACTATAATAGGGTCCCCTTTTACGGGCTCCTCTTGAATAAGGCTCACTAGAAGGACACGGTGACCATGAGGGAACTGTAGGTTCGGTTCAGGGTGCTGTTACTATGAGGGTCTTGCGAAGCAGGGACATCACCTTTCGAAGGGTTTACGGCAATCTCGATTCCTGATGAATAAGCACCCGGCCCTGCTACCCTACTAGAATCCTTATTAAGGGGCCGAACGTGGTTTGCAAACCAGGCGTCTACATAATTGGGGGTCAGGGTCTAGGGCCAGAACTTCACACACCGAAGACCAGGGTTCTTCTGTCCCAAGACTGAATACTGCAGGGGCCTTAACAATTAGAATAGGATTTTTGGGTATATTATACTCTGATTCTAAAAGGAACCCCCAAAAATAGTATAGGTAGTTGTGCAGGCCCCTATATTACACGTGAGACTCGGTAAGTTGGAGACCTTCAAGATAAGCACAAAGTTCTCGGGTATATTATGCTACAGCTCTCTAAGAATGCCATAGCCAATTATTGTGGCCGTCGCCTTGAGTACAGGGACATGAATACAAAGTATTCCAAGAAGTTCCCTGCTCTTGTTCTGTAGTACAGCACTGATTGTTCATGCCTCATTGAATCGTATAAAACCCGATAAAGCCTCCATACACGTGCGGAAAAAGCAACCCTAAGCAACCTACAGACAACCCTATGCAGTATGAGTTATAGAGCCTGTAACAACCCTGTAAAACCGTGAGTTGTAGGCCCTATGCTTTGTAACCCGGAAAAGACATGTCTCGCAGACCCTAGAGCAACCCTGCAAAACATGTGTTCAATACCCTTGGAAAACCAAAAGCACACACATTCTAGGTCCACAACAACCAAAACATAGACCCTGTAAACACTCTAAGCTCATACATCCCGATAACAAACTACGAACCACAAACTCAAAGGGCGTATGACATATGTGTTAACGCGGATTTGGACGGGTCTAGATTCTAGACCCTTTCAGACATATATCATATACCCTATAAACAGCCTTGTAGAACTGAATCACATAGCAGGCAAATTGTGCTTGCTTGTCGTCTGCCTCCTCTTTTTGGCCGCCGCGTGCCGCAGCTTTGGTGGCCAGCAGCTCCTTCGCTGGGTTTGGTGCTCAATTTAAGGGGTCGGGCCGGTTCCGGGTTTAGGTTTAGGTACAAAGTTAGTTAGGGTAACGGCTCTACCGCGGATCCCTACTCTTTGGGGTCCAAATGTCTCATGCTTGTGATGCTCAGCGTTTCGGCCTTTGGGGCTTCAGAATTTAAGGCATAGGGCAGCTTAGGGCTTCAGGCGCTTAGGGTTCAAGGTTTTCAGTCTTAGGGTTTAGGGTTCTATTAACAACTTGTGCTGATTGTACCGGCTCAACCCATCCCAACCCTTCCAAACCCAGGACACTGCACGGCCTGCACCTGTCGCTGGTGCGAATCATCTTTCTCCTGACAGGCAGGACTAGAGAGACTCCGCATTCGGCCTATCGGAGACGGCTTGAGGTTGCGATGCTGTTGGGCTTTAGCTTTAGCCTCGAAAACAAACAACCTCGACTCCGATACTCGCCAAGCTCCGGACTGTAAAGTACCAACCCATAGCCTTGACGGTTTGGGGTTTAGGTTGGTTGGTCGGTCGGTCGGTTGGCTGGCTGGCTGGCTAGTTGGTTTAGGGCTTCGGGCTTGTAGGGTTTAGTAGGGCCAATTGGGCTTACGGTTTAGAGCTGGTTTGGGGCTTAGGGCTTATAGGGTTAATAGGGTTTAATAGGGCTTACCCTAAACCCTAAACCCTAAACCTTAAACCCTAAACTTAGGGTTTAGAGCTTCGATGACCTGCCGTGAAACCCAGCCCAGCCCATCCAGCCTTCAGCAGGCGCTCGTAGTGCTGCTTCTGCTCCTCCACGTCTTGCATCATAGTGTGAACATACATACATATATACATATAGTATGTAACCTAAGTTATATAAATAGTATATATATATATATATTACATACTCTGCATGAGATATATATATAAAATACATATATTCTGTTATATGATAATATATTATATTACATGTTCTTGCATTATATTATATTGTGGTATATTCTGTTCTATTCTATTATATTGTAGTATATTATGTTATGGTACATTGCATTATGTTTTTATATTTTATTTGTTTGTGTATGTCCGTATGTATTTATGTATTTATGTGTGTATATATATATGCTCATATAGCTATGTATGTTATCATTACTAAAATTAATTATGACCATTATTAGTATTACTCCTATTATTACATGTTGTATATGTTGTGATCATGCTTGCTGAGCGGGGGCCTCGTTGCTTAAAGGATCTATATTAAGATGCAGCCCGATATAGCCCCAAACCCTTAAGGCCCCTACATTAGTTTCAAGCCTCCAGGGTTCTGAGTGAACCTAGAAGCCCAGGTATCTATATAACGCAGGGCCCCACAGAAACATGCAAGGGCTTCAGGGGTATATTACGCTCCACTTTCGCAGGGGCCACGAGCGGATGCTTTTGCTTATTCTTCAAGCCCCAGGCTTAAACAAAGACTGAAACCCACTGCATAGGCAACTCGGTCTTCTAGACCTGAGGGGGGAGGGCCCCTGCTATGGTAAATCTAAACTCAGGAATGACGAAGGAAACTCAAGGAATGGGATTCCTAGTTCTTCAGGCCCATATATAAAAACAAAAACTAGGGAAACTCAAGGAATAGTATTATATACTCATTTTTCAGGCCCCGCTATATGCTGATGCTGAGTTGTTCAGAGCTCACTCGGACTTCATGGCCGAGCTAAGAAAGCCGTAGGCCTGATATCCTACAGCCGGCCCCTAGGGCCCTAGGGTTTCTGGGTTCAGGGTTTAGGGTTTGGAGTTTAGGGGTTTAGGGGTTTAGGGGTTAGGTGTGTAGGGTTTAGGATTATGCAAAACCCGAAGTTTCAACTTTCCCCAGCCTGCACCTCGCGGTCGATGCCCTCAGCTTTGGTGGCGGCCAACTCCTTCGCTCCGGCTGTCGGATGCTCGTGACATCTCAGGCTTTGGTGTTTAGGGCGTAGGGCACTCGAGCGCCGTAATCGTGAGGAGACCAGCCATGCTACAATGCCTCCAAAGCTTTAAGGTCCAACTTGCTGTCTGGGCTTCTGCGACTACAATATTGCCTGAAGAAGAACAACAGTACCGACAGCAAAGCGCACACGACTGACGATGAGTCACTGCAGGTATTAGTACTGTAAAGATAGACTGCAGAAGTATTCGTCTGAAATGAAATCCGTGCTCGGCTCCTCGCGCACTGATCAGTCACACTTTGGGACACTGGTGGGAGTAACGGCTCGGCATATCTGATTCTGCTACAGCCCCCCAATGCGCCCTTCGTCATGGGCCTGCACCTGTCGCTGATGCGATTCGTCTTTCTCCTGACAGGGAGCGCAGATGACACTTCGGAGCAGTTCCCGAAAGACTGGAGTCTGGTAACGCTTATCCATACATTCAACATCCGAAAAGGGTACTGAGGTTGAGCGCAGCCTCGGAGGTTTGCACCTTCGGCCATGAAGCCAGCCTCACTAAGTAAGGTTTGCAAAGCGGCCCTAGGCCCGGAAGCCTAAAATGCACCACATAAAGCCATCGAACTTTGCATCCCTGCTCTACCTGTAGTCTCCATTATAGTTCCTTTTTTTGGTTAAACCAATTATATATTCAGGATTTTATAAGGCATCCCCAAAAAGGAACTACAATGGAGACTATAGGTACTGTGAAAACCCAGCCCGGCCGATCCGACCTTCAGCAGACGCTCGTAGTGCTGTTTCTGCTCCTGGGGTTTAGGGTTTAGGGGTCTGGGGTTTAGGGTTTAGGGTTTAGGGTTTAGGGGTTTAGGGTTTAGGGTGCAGGGTTTAAGGCGTCATGCTTGGGGTGCAGGCACCTCTACTGCTCTTCCGGGAGGCCCCGGCCCTTACCTTGCAAACGGCCAGGCATGTAGGAGACTGCGGACAAGGTGTTCAAGGCCGTGCCGCTATTCAGAACTGTCCTTGCATCGCTGTGAGTTCAAAGCTGGGGTTGAAGGCTTCTGACATATCTAAGCAGTGCCCTGCCTATACCCGCAGCTAGCCTCTACTGTAAGCCCTGGATTCCTACCTGCACATGAAGGATGTAGGCATTCTCCGGGTGGTACTCACGAGATCCTTCTACCCATTGCCTCCGGCAAGCCGTAACCCGGATCTCCACTAGTGTTCAGGCGACCATAATCGGAAAGCTATAGACTCCTATAAAGCCTTGAGCAAAGCCTGGCACCCATTTTAAATCGAAAACATGAAAGCATGATGATCCCTAAACTCTTAACCCCCAAACTCTACCTAGAGTCTCCATTGTAGTTCGTTTCAGGGGTTGCACAAACTCTAGGTACCTAGGTTGTCCATTGTAGTTCCTGTCAAGGGCTACCATACAGGATAGCTAAACATCAAATTGGTCAGATCATCTCGTTTTGTGGGCCAGCCTGGGCCTCACGGCCACTGCTTTCAGCTGCCGTCGTGGCGAGCAGCTCCTTCACTGGGGCCGGCTGTATGGTACCGTTTTGTGAGCCTCTTAAAATGAAGAGCACATGTTCGTGTGCAGAGGTACATTTATTCAGAATCCCACTAGAATACAAGAACCATATGAAACCAGTTGCACAAGTCCGGCATCATCCGAAACACGTGCCGAACCCGCTTAGGCACCTATCATGCATAAGAGCGCAGGACTGCAGGATTATGGGCTTGATCTTGCTGTTCAAGCCTGGGCTGTCAACCTTTCGGTCTAGATGTTGAGGGGTGCAGCTGGAAGAGATGTTGCCGAAGGATTTGGGGGTGCTTGCACGGTACCCGTCGTCACGACCCCAAAAGTTGTAGTAATTGCAGCAGTTCCGTCATGGTGTGATGCTAACTAACATCAATACTCCTACCAAACTACCAGCGGCAACAGCAAGTAAGAAGCACAACAAGCTGATGGTACAAACACTGTAGTTGTAAGATGCCACAAGACTGATATCGAAAGCTAAGAACTCGCGGCGGGACTCAGATGGACTAAAGTAATCAGTTCATGGTGCGGGACTTTGGCGCGTTTGTCTCATCCTACACCCTCAACCCTAAACTCTAAACCCCAGAACCAAAGCCCTGACTCCTTAAGCCCTAAACCCTGACCCCTTCAACCCTAAACCCCTGACACCTTCAACCCTGACCCCTTATAAATCCCCGAACCTGGCCTCCACCTGTCGCTGGTGTGATTCGTCCTTCTCCTGCCCAGCAACCCAAAACCCTAAACCCGAAACCCTAAACCAATAAAGCCCAAATCCCTAAACCCAAAACCCTAATCCCGAAACCCTAAACCCCCAAAACCCAAAACCCTAAACCCTCAAAGCCCTAAACCCGAAATCCTGAACCACTAAAGCCCAAACCCCTAAACCCAAAAAAACCCTAAACCCGAAACCCCCAGAAAGACTCCGGGGCAGGAGTCCAGAGGGCACTCGAATCCTAGAAAGCTGAATAAGGATGCCCTCCACGGAGTCTTTAGGGCTTAGGGTTAGGGTTTAGGCTTCCTCGAAAGCGATCTTAATAAGGCCTCTATAAATCTAGGGGCCATAACATTTTGGAAAGGGCTTTTGAGTTTATTATAAAAACAGTCTAGATCTAGCACGAGCATGTCAGAACCCTGAGGACTACGATTGGTGACTATTCAGGCTTCTAGATAACCTCATAGCCTCCAAACCCCAGAATCCGAGGACCTAATTCGGAAGCCCAAAACATTAGTGTCTGGTCTTGGGCTGTGGTCTAATACAAACAAGTAGAAAATACAACAAGAAGCCCTGAAGCAATAATAGTGACTTTCTGTTGAGTTCATACTTAGCAGGACCTTTCGGGCATGATAGAGCACTGATATTAATAGAAATATGACAAGAAGACATCAACTACAATGTTGTTACCTGTTTTAGGCTTTAAGTCTACATGAGCAGGATCTTTAAGCGTCTGGTCTGGGGAGGGGGGGCGAGGAAACGGTTGCTACCAGGGCTTGGAGTCAATCAAGTTCAGGGTGTAGGATTTCGGGTCAGGGGTTTTCCGTTTTGGGGGGTTTGCGGTTTTGGAGGTTTGGGGATTTCGGGTTAGGGGTGTTACGGTCTCGGGGGTTTATGTGTTCAGGGTTTAGGGGTTTAGCGATTATTGAGGGTTTTGGGTTCAGCAGTGGGCCTGTACGCGCTGAGGGGAAAAAACCAGGGCATTTGCAATCCTCCTTGGGAGTGATACGAATAAACACCACGTGGGCCCTACAGACCCTTTTAGAATATGAACAATAATCAAAGAGACACACTGAGAAGAGAAAGAGTGTGCGAGCTACCCCGAACAGCAAAGGACCCGAGAAATGTGGGTTCTACCGGGTCCATGTGAGCTGGAGAAGCCCTAAACCCTATAAACCCCAAACCCCCTGGTCCGAAACTCTAAACCACCGAAACCACAGAACAGTCGTCCTGCAGCACTCGCTGGAACTGGTCCTGCTGCTCCTGAAACTTACTGTTCAAGTAACTTATGTAATATTCGCAGATGAACAGTATAAGGGTTCGGCATGGTTTTGCATGTTATTAAACAGATCTCTTGCAGGGCTTAATGTAGGGGCCTTCTAGAATAGCCATGTCTATTGTCGTGTCGTTTTTTTGTGACTGAATCGCGAAACCATTCCCGAATGTTCAGACCGGTATATCACTGTATGTCTGGGTAAAGGACGCATTCGGCCTTAGCAGGTACTGGCTAGGATATACTCTGCGGGCTGATGGGTGCATTTTGAACTTTCGGGTCCAAAAATCAAAAACATTACCATACGCCCCAAAGCGGCCCTAATCCGTCTAAGCCGTCACCGATACGAACCCTAGATCCGGACCCGGCAGTGCCTGCGAATCTCTTCGAAGTTAAGAGACCTGGAGCCCTTAGTTAGGTCTTCATGATTTATGTTTGAATGCTAATATTTTTCGGGGGGGGGGTCCTTAATCAGGTTCCTACATCATGGTGTTTGCCATATACAGGTTGCGGCTTGGCAAGGGGCCTCAATGGGGCCTTCTGGGGATTAGTGTATAAGCAATAAGTGCCTGACACTACCCGAGCGTAAAGCGAGAGGAAAGCTGTCGAACAAAAATGTCATACAAACTTGCCTGCCAGCTGCTAATGTAGGGGCCTTAATAATTAGAATAGGGTTTTGGGGGTAAATAATATAATATACCCCATTTCCCTATTCTACTTATTGAGACCCCTATATTGCTACCGCCTACCTGGAAACATTGCCTTGGCAACGAGGCAGACCACAACTCGCGGTAGCATACTCAAAATAGGGGCCTTAAGAATTAGAACAGCGGCATCGGTATCTTCTACTATAATCTATAGTGAGTCCATTATAGCTACGTAGGGGCTTCTGGGGAATGCTGGTCATGTTAGATTACCCTAAACCACACACCCTCGAGCCTAAACCCCTGAAGTATCCCGACCCGTTTCTTCAGCTCCCTCCCACGGTTTAGCTTAACCCCAAATAACCTACCCTTTTAAGGACTTATATAAAGAAATCATAATAAGGATCCCTAAAAAGGTGGGCTCTTTAGGGTCCAGGTAGGGTTTAGGGATCGCTGCAAAGTGAAGGGCCCGGCCTGAAGGGCTTTCTCGTAATGCGCCTTCTGATCCTCAGCATGGATGCTCATACTGCTGATGGACAAAATTCTGCATGACCCAAATATAGTATAGTACCATAAATCCCATAGTTTAGGTATATAAGGTCATGCAGGATTTTGTCCATCAGCCGTATGGGTAATTCTCTAAACTAGGCTTTAGGGTTTAGGGGTTTAGGGTTTAGGTCCCTTTTTGGGTCCCCAATATGGTACGGCACCCTGAATAGAAAGGACCCTAAAAGGGACCCTAATTTAGAGAAGTGCCAATAGGTTGAGGGTCTGCTTAAGGGCTAGGTCGGGGTTTCTCGACGGCTCTGCCGCGTTTCATCACCACGCACTTTTGAAAGGATCTCGTAGCAAAGAGAAAGACAAGTCAGGCCTGCGTGGGAATTTCTGTGAAAAGCTCTCAACGATAGCTATATGCGGGGACCTCAGAAAACACGATTCGACACCTGCACTACGTGCCATTCGGCTGAAGCCTAGAATCAGTACTTGGAAACTCCGTGTTTACAGGACGTTGGGGTTTAGTGTCCAAGGCTTCACAGCACGACCTGGACTTCCACACTACAGCCTGAAGCATGAACCCACCAGGCCCTAAGCCTCAAGTGCGACCCCAAAACGAACATCAGCGATCCCAAACCACTTAGTTCGGGCATGTTTCGCACGTATCCGAAATCATAACACAGAAACCTCGCTAGTCTGTAATATAGAGGCCTTAATATATAGAATAGGGTTTTGGTGTATATTTTACTTAAATAAGAATATAATAAGGAGCCCCAAATATTATAGTTAATTATTAAGGCCCCTTATACTATATTGAGCTCTGTTTCTTAAGTAAAGAGTCTCCCAAAGAGCTGGAGATCTCCTGAGGGGGATCTGGCCTCGAAAGCTTTGTCGTGGGCCGCGTCCATGTCCTGCTCTAGGGTTTAGGGTTCGGGGTTTAGGGTTTAGGGTTTAGGGTTCGGGGTTTAGGGTTTAGGGTTTAGGGTTTAGGGTTTGGGGTTTAGGGTTTAGGGTGCTTCTTGACCATTGCATCTATCGATAGGGCTTTTAGAGCTTGGAGGTTTTAGAGGTTTTCAAGTTCTAGGGCTTTCAGGGTTTAGGGTGTAGAGATGCTTAGAGCTTGGGCTCTTGGGTCTTAGGCTTTATAGATTCGGATTTAGAGTTTCGTTTCGTTGGTGGCACATAAGCTGCGTTGGAACTGAAGCTCTGAACTCTGGATGTAAGGTAACTAAGCAATTAACTGATGAACTACCTATCTGACTATCTACCGAAGTACGCAGCTGCCTAACTACCTACCTACCCGCCTGCCTGCCTACCTAGCCACCCACCTACGCACCTACCCACGACCGACCTACCTACCAACCTACCGAAGCATCTAACCAGCTAACTAACCATCTAACCAACTAAGACACCACAGCACGACAGCCAACATCACCAGATCGCAAGTCAAAATCAATCAAACTGTTGTTGGCAAGAGAAGGATCTTGATGTTGAACGTCGTCATGCCATTAACATAGGATTCAGTCTTGTCGTAAAGGTGTTTTCGCCGTGCTTCGCCATGTGCATGCCAATTCCTGTGCGTGGCCAAAGCTCTCCAGATTCAGGGTTTAGGGTTTATAGGGTACTAGTGTTATGGCAACGGCCCTAGAGGGCAATCCCCCATCTTCACACGCCACATGCAATCAAGATGGCCAACCCCTCCAAATCCATCCCTGATACGGACCCACATCAACAAACTGCTCAACAAGCCGTGCATTGAAAGAAATAGTCGGTGCTTTGACAAACTAATATAGGGGCTTTAATAATTAAAATAGGGGTTAGGGGGCCCGTTATGCCATAATGACAAGAAGGAACCCCCAAAATAAGACTAGTAATTATTTAGGCCCCTATATTAGACCCCAAACTTCTGGATCCCGAAATCCTCAACCCTAGTTGAATGGCCTGAAGCACGCCCCAGACCTCTTGCTGACTGTCCTGGCATGCCATGGTCTGTTCACAGAGAGTTTCGGAAAGAAGCTCCGTAGGAGATGGTATCGGGCTATACGGCTTTCGTTCTTAAGGGCGACTTAAGGTACCCTACACCCGAAAACTTTAGGGGTGCCTAAACCCCAAACCCTAGGGGTTCCTAAACGCTAAACCCTAGGGGTTCGCACACCCTAAACCCTAGGGGTTCGTACACCCTAGGGATCCTGAACCCTAAACCCTAGGGGTTCCTAAACCCTAGGGATCCTGAACCCTAAACTTCCCTAAACCGCAGGGGATTCCTACCTTCCCAACATTTTCGTCACATTTTGCGATCCAAACCTTAAACCCTAAACCCTAAACCCCAAACCCTAAACCCTATAAGCCCTATAAACCCTATAAGCCCTATAAACCCTATAAGCCCTATAAACCCTATAAGCCCTATACCCTAAACCCTAAACCCTAAACCCTAAACCCTATACCCTAAGCCCTAAGCCCTATAAGCCCTATACCCTAAGCCCTAAACATACCGACCTGCAGCTCCCGGAGGGAGATGGCTCTCGCCTCGGCCGAGCGTTGGCTGATGCAAGACCGACGGAAGCCGATGATTAGGACTTGGGGTTCAGGTTTAGGGTTTAGGGTTTAGGGTTTAGGGTTTAGGGTTTAGGGTTTAGGGTTTAGGCTCTAGAGGATTTGGGGTTCAGGCTTTAGGGCCAGGGTTTAGGGTTTAGGCTTCAGAGTTCAGGCTCTAGGGCCAGGCTTTAGGGCTTAGGCTTCAGAATTTAGGCTTTAGGGCCAGGGTTTAGGGTTTAGGGTTTAGGGCCAGGGATTAGGGTTGAGGCTTCAGAATTTAGGCTTTAGGGCCAGTTTTTAGGGTTTAGGGGTATAGGGTTTAGGGAAGGTCCTCTGTTGATATTCTAGACCCTAGAAACCTTGTACCTAGACATCAGGCTTCCTGCTTCCTCAGATCTTCAGCAATGGCCTTTGTTCATAGTCAGAAATTCCCCAAGACCACGGTGGAAAAGCAGGTAGCTTCATGTAGGCACAGGTTTGGTGCCTGTCCTGCCAGGAGGCTAACTGAAAGCAAGAAACGGTTCAGGTGCCCACGGCAGCACTTGCAAAATCAATTTGGGGGTGGTCCCTGCCGACACGCGGCGCACCCGAACCCCAAAACGTCACGCATCCACCGGAATGCTGCATTCCGATAGAGGCCTATATCCCCAAGAGCCAAAAACAAATCCTTTGAACCCCTGACAAGCACCCCTGCTGAGGCCGCGGACCTCTAGCTGACGCTGGAAGCGCTCCTTCTGTGCCTTCGCGTCCACCCCCTAAACCAAGACTGGTTTGAGGTTGAGGGCGTAAGGGTTTAGGGTTTGGGGTTTTGGGTTTAGGGGTTTGAGGTTGAGGGTGTAAGGGTTCAGGGTTTTCCGCCTTAAGGCTAGCAGTTCAGGGCGAAGCGCTTCAACCACCAGCAAAACAACAAGATCGCCAAAGCCTCACCTTAAAGCCCCCCAAAATTTCAACCCCGATGCCCGAGGCAGTAAAGACTTGCCCCTCATAGCCTTAGAGCCTGAAGCCCAAAATCCTATAAACCATCCAGCTTCAACCCCTCATCGAAACCCGGGTCTCTACAGAGACTAAAAAACAAGCCTCCGCGAAGTGCAAAGGCCCCACCCAAAGCCTTCTCTGATTCTCCCAAGCCTTAAAAAAACAACGAAACAATCCTTCCACCCTTAAAAACACTGATCCTACAAGAGCCCCTAGACAGAACCTGCAATACAGGATCTGCTTTCCTCATCAACCATACAAAATCCAAGCTACGAGTAAACACCGAAAAGCAGCAACAGAGCCTGAAATCGCAGCCCTAAGATCAAAGTCTCCCAAAGCCTCAACCCTAAAC